TTTCTTTGTTCCATATTATTTTCTGTGCTGAGCTCTTGGAGTATTTTTGATATGAGATTAACTCTCTGCTTATAAATCTAATCTGAAAGTATACTCTCTTCTCTAAACTTTTAAATGATATTTTAAATCTACTGAATCATTTATTTTATGAAAGCAAATTGTTAGTGTGTTCAGCAATCTTCTTCATTTTTATACTTTATTTAAAGTCTAGCTCTTTTGTTTCCTTTGTTGTTGTTGTGTTGTTATTTGCCACTGAGTCAGACCTGACTCATAGTGACCCCTCCTTGGGTTCCCAAGTCAGTATCACTACAGAAGTAGTTTGCCCAACCTCCTTCCAAGGTGTGGCTGGTGGGTTTGAACTGGTAGCCTTCTGGTTAGCAGTCAAGTGCCTTAGTCACTACACCACCAGAGTTTCTTATATGACCATACAGTTAAGTAATTTGTGCAGTGTTTTGCAGAAGTTTTGATTAAAATGAACATGCTGAATGAGATCAAAGAATCAACATTAAAATTGAAATAAAAAAATATTTTTTTTATTGTGAGTTGATATAACTGAAGCTGAATGCAAGCATTCCTTTTTTCAAGCTTTCCTTAATAAAATATAAGCCTCCTCTATATCTCTCATAGCTCAAAGTTCATGATTATTAAACTTCTGAGGACCTTCCAATATCTGCATGCTTAAAATAAAATAGCAAAGATTCAGTGTTTGGCTGAGCTGCACTCATTTAGACTTACCTAGCCTTTATTTTTCCTGACTTTTCATTTGTCTATGATATGTGTGAATAGGTTTTCAGAAGTTGACTGCTACTGGAAATGAAATTCTTTTAAATTGCTATCTTTCTATCATCTATTAATCTGTTGTTGCTCTTTATTTATTCCAGTGGCTGAGAAGACCAAAGAGCAGGTGACAAATGTTGGAGAGGCAGTGGTGACAGGTGTGACAGCAGTAGCACAAAAAACAGTGGAAGGAGCAGGGAATATTGCCGCTGCCACTGGCTTTGGCAAAAAAGATCAGATGGGCAAGGTAAGTTTGCATGCATCATATATTTATAAGATTGTGAGGTCATGGTGCATTTTCACATGAGTCACTAAGCAGGAATAAGATGCTTATTATGGGTGAAGGGTTGACTGAATCTTTCCCCCTTAAAAATGCACTACCCTTACTTTTTTCTTTGTTTTGTTTTATCTTCATTCAGATAAATATCATGCAAATTGTACAATAATCATGATTGTTTCACTTTCTGGAAGAAAGTTTATGAAATGAGCAATGTAGTAAAGGCCAAAAGGAATAATGACATTTCAGAAAGAATGAATGTTTTCATGTTAGTTATGAATTGTGAAATTTTTCTTTGTTGCAATATAACTAATCTCTGTACTTATATTTAATTTTCAAAAAAAGCTCTGACTGCATTTCTTTATGATGACATCATCCCATATATTTTCTTATTATATAACAGTTCAGAACAAAATATGCTTGTAGGAACTGAGACTTAAAATGCATGCCAAACAGAGATCATGGTTTCCAGATAATTTCAAAATTCTCAAAAGAATTTTTACTGCATTTCTTAACAAATATTGTTAAGATAGTGAGAGTCTAGTAAAATTATACAAAAAAGTATCAAGAGTTTCATTTTAAACAAATAAGTAACTAGAAGATGACATGTCAACTAGAACAAGAATGAAATTTTACAAATTCCATGACATCAGAATGACTTGTTTCCAACTCATAGTGAGCCCCTTTGTGTTTTTAAGACAGTAAATCTTCACAGAAGGAGATTGCCCAGTCTTCCTTCCATAGAGTGCCTGGTGGGTTTGAACCACCAACTTTCTGGTTAGCATTCAAATGCTTTAGGCACTACACCATCAGAGCTCCTTTATTTGAATATAAAATATAAAATAATATATTATGTCAATTAATTATATAGTATAAAATATATATATAAATAATATAATATTTTATTTATCTGTAATTTATAATATATTAACTTCATATTCCTTATATTAATATTATATTACATACAAATATTTATTTTATAGTTTGTTTATATTTTAATATTTGTATATACTTCCTTGCTATTCTTCAAACATTTTTGAAAAATTAGACCAATATATCATAAGCAACTTTTACTAGCCCCAACACAATTATCAGAAAAACTTAAATGATTATCAGCATGTGTATTCTATAATCCTGCCTCAATTCATAAGAGGGTATCTAACCAATTGTGTACTAGAAGAATAAAAGAAGGGCAGGAGATAAAAAATATCAGGTTTGACACTATGATCTATAACACTTAAGTGTCCTTTACTTATTTCCTTGAGTTACTAGTACTGTCATGCTTATCATGAAGTGAATTTATTTTTAAACACTTGAGTGTTACAGACCATCTAATTAAATCAGATGATGGAAGGAAGCTGCCTTTAGCCTACTCATTTAATACTGACTTCACCACTAAGCCATAGGTCACAGGCAACCTTTCAGATCTCTTGGAAGAAGCATAGACCATATGCATGCTCTTATATTACTTACAAGAAGATAATAATAAGAGATACTGGGATTAGTGAAATATTTTAATTCATAGAAAACTCTCCTTAAATGTTTCATAATGATTGATATTTTTGTTTCTTATCATTCTGCTTGACCTCAGAAGATAACAAACATGAATGTTAATCATATTTAAAACTAAACTAAAAGCTTTGAGGTATAATGAATTGTCAGAATTGTGTTTTTGTTAGGAAGGGCATATGCTATTAACAGCACTGTGATCTTAGCTTAAAGCCTAATGTGGAATTAAAGAAAAAAAAATTAATTGACCTAATTAGTTTGTTTCAAAAGATATCTAATTGGTAACATTTTTCAATGTGATATGTAAAAATCAATATATTGATATTTTATACTCATGAGTCTTTTAGGGAGCTCTGGTAGCATAGTGCCTAAGGCACTTGACTGCTAACCAGAAGGCTGGTGGTTAAAACCCATCAGCCACTCCTCGGGTGTTAAAACCCATCAGCCACTCCTCGGGCGGAAGATGGGGCAATCTACTTCCGTAATGATACTGCCTCGGAAACCCAAGGAGGGGTCGCTATGTGTCAGGTCCTACTCGAGGGCACATTACAATAACAACAGCAACATGAGTCTTTTAATGCTACATAAATAGTCTGCACTTAGAAACACATCTACTACAACAGTTCTTTGCATCTGATAATACTTCTCTGGGTTCTGTATAGATAAGCCATAATTTGTAATGAGTCCTAATCCTGTAAGATTTGAAATGGAAACTGCACTATAGTTATGTATAAAATTGTAAGGAAAATAGGCTTAATATTATGTCCCCATTAAAATTAAACAGCATTCAAATGTTTACGGAATACTTTTTATGTGACAGATACTAGCCTAGGCAGTATGGGATATACAAAAGTATATAAAAATATGGGCTATATAAAACCACATTGATGGTTACTCCTTTCAAGAAATGTGCAGTCCAGGTATAATTGCCACCATGAACTACTTTTGTCATGAGGCCAGAAGAAATGGTTGGTGCCTGTTTACCAGTACTGAATATTTTGATCTAGGACCCAGTAGACGGATTCTGATCAAAAGGAGAAAACATATGGAACAGACCATTAAATTCCTGTGGAAACAAGACTTACTGGATCCATTGAGATTGGAAAAACACCTAAGTCTATTGTCCTGAAATAATCTTTAAATTTTTAACTAAAACTATCCCATGAAGTCATCTATAAACAAAACAACAGTTTTGCTCAATTAATAATGTTGGAATTGAAATTTTTACTTTTTTAAAGAATTATCTATGTGTAATCAAATTGATGACCGTAACTCCAAAGCACAGATGACAACTTTAAGGGACATGGAGAGCTAAAGTTAAGGGTGGTGAAACAATATGGGTAGAGATTGTAAGAATGTAACCAATAGCATTAATCTGTACGTGTAGAAATTGTTGAATGGGTATATGTTGTATATATTTTCACCAAAAATTGTTTAAAAATTAATTTAAATTAAAAGAGAGAGAAAAATATACAGTTCAAGATGGCAGACTGACACATTTACCACTGGGAAAAGGACAGTCTGTGGTCTTTGAGAACAGTGTATGTTGGTAATAAGTGTTAAACAATCTCCTACAGGAAAAAAAAAAAAAAAAGAAAAGAAATGTTTTCATTAGAAATACAAGAAGATTGTTCTCTCAACAAATATACTTAATTTTGCTTTTTGTCAGTAGACAATGAAATTACTGTGCACAGGTAGAGATAAAGAGCTATAATATTTTAGCTATTTGACATGGGAAAAACACTTTTATTCAAGTCCCAGGATCAGAGTTAAAATGATCTGTACACATTATGAGCCTGCAATATGTTCATACCTACAAATCCAGTTTCAGTCTTCAAAGGTCCGATTGTAGTGGTAGTTTTATTTGTTAGAGAAATATATTATAGGATGAGTATGATAAAACTGTTAAGGCAAACAACAAACAGTCTTTAGATCATATTGTGCGGTTGGCTTATTCCTTTACAAATGCTTAACCTTGATTAAAATTCTGCTGAATACAATGTAAGGCCAATGACTATACATTTATTAAGAACACATCTTCATTATTCATGTGCTAATGTCTGTTGCTAACATCCTTTCATATTTAAACACGATATGATATTTTTGGTAGTGTTTTATTAATCAGGTACTATCATATGTAGGATGATTTCAAACTTAGGTGGTTTGTTTTTTACCTCTAATACCATCTGAGCTACATTTTTACCATGTAATTAATTCAATGGTAATCTTAGAAAAATAGTAATGATATGTTTAAGTGATGGGCCTAAAGGGCATAAGAAAACCAAAACACATTGCCATTGAGTTGATTCCCACTCATAGTGACCCTATAGGGCAGGACAGAACTCTCCCACATGTTTCTAAAGCTATAATCTTTATAGAAGAAGACTGCCACATCTTTCTCCTATGAAGCTGCTGATGGGTTTAAATCATGGACCTTTCTGTTAGCAGCCAAGTGTTTAACTACTGCACCACCAGGACATCTTATAAGGGAATAAGTTCTGGTTATATACAATAATATTCAATAGTCTCGTTCCAAAATTCAATGAAAATGAACTTGTTTGTCCCTAAAAATAAAACAATTTGATTTTTCTACCCCTTCAAATGTAGACTTTTAGTTTTCTAAATTTCTAGGAGACATTTAATGTTGTTTGCTTTATTAAGAGAAAATATCAAAAATAGGTTCTATTGTGTCTCAAAATATTCAAAATACACAAAAATGTGGGACATTAACTTGGATTTTAAAGAAACAGAAATAAGGTAAATGAAATGCTAGTTGTATTTTGCATGTAAATAAATGATTATGGGAACTAATGGTCAATGAAATGTCTCATCAACCTAATTGTTCTTTCACAAAGAAAAATGTCTAATTTGTCATCTCAAATATTAGGTAATATATTTATATAGCACTTAATTAAAGCTCCTATCAAACATTCGAATACTTAAGTCACAATTTAATTTTCTCTCTCTACCAAGTGATTCTAGAATCACTAAAAAGATTTTTATGAAAATTCCCAAAGTAGTATTTAGTTCTTAGTAAGGCAGTAACATACGTTACAACAAAGAACTCTGAGCCATAAATTATTTGTTGACTAAATAAGTGAACTATTGAGTAAATAAATGAGCAAATGGAAATAAGGAATATGTATCTTATCCTCCTTATTAGAGTTAGAAGCTGTCTTTTCTTTTGTTGTTGTTGTTCACACAGTCTAACACAAATTATTTGTGAGTGAATTCATAAGAGTATATTCAGTTGTAACTTTTTTGATTGTTATGAATAATATGAACTTTTAAAGGAATCACATAGATTTTTAACTATCAATGCTTACAAAACAATTATATAAATCTGGTAATTCATAAGGAGCTCTGGTGGTATAGTGGTTAAGGGTTTGGCTACTAACTAAAAGTTGGCAGTTTGAACCCACCAGCCACTCTGCAGGAGAAAGATGTGACAGTCTGTTCCT